GCTCTCTTTTTCTGTGTTTTTACAGGAAAATAGGAAATCACAGTAAAAATGCCAGGGCTCAAGCCTGATTTATGCTTCTCCGTCTGCGTCAGTGCGGAGCACACGCAACGCCATTATCCGTCCTTGCGTAGGGCTCCGGCAGGCACGCAAGTACGTACGGAGTCGAGCCCAATTTTTTAAACATCCGTCGAACGAGACGGATTACGCAAGCTTGTGATTGGTCAGGACGCCGCTGTTGTTTACAGCGCCGCCATTGCAAAGAGAGCCGAGGATAACTAGCGGCAGACACGGAGAAGCTTGAAGAATACCTCGCGAAAAAACTCTAAAAATATGAACGTTTCATTCTCCCGTGACTGGAGGAGTGAAAAGATGCGCAGCAAGCGTTTTACTTGTGGACGGAAATGACAGGAAACGTGGGTTTAGAGGTGGGGAGCGCATGAAGCGGTGGGAGAATGAGAGACAAATATGTCCGTGTTAAAAGTCTCTTATATACACAAAAAACACAATATAAACACACTATCTTGGACCGATACATGACAGGATACCACAGAACAGCGCTACGCCCTCTGTTGTCCTGCCGGGGAATTGCTTTGCAACACTCTCCAGGAGACGGAGAAATATGAGAGCAAAACGCTTCCGTCAATCCGTGCATGTCTGTCCCTTGCGGAGCTGACAGAGAAGCATAAACCAGGCTTCATTCTACAGGACCAGGGCATTGCAGGAGAATGTATTAAGAAGAAATGTATTATTTCTATTAGTGATGGGAATTCCGGCTCTTTTTAGAGAGCCAGTTCTTTTGGCTCAGCTCCCAAGTGGCTCCTCAGATTTTCTGTTGCGTAGAGTACATTTATAACCAAAATAATGCTAAACTATTTGTAAAATGATTTACTAATGTAAAAGTTATGCAATATATCAAATATTTATCATTTATATGGATTTAATAACCAGACACTTTAAGAAATCTCCACTTTCCGACTGCTGGCGCTCATTTTCTCACCGTCTTCATCGCACTCTCCTCTCTCTCGCTCGCCGTTTTCCTCCTCCTCATTCCCTCTCGTCTCCCTCCACCCGCATGTGCTCTGCTGTGTGTCTGAGTCTGATCCTCCCTCTTCCCCGCCCCTACTGCTCTGTTCGTGGACAGTCTGGACATGCAGTTACACATGTTGACCAATCACCTGTAGCTTTCACCAAAGCAAGAGGGGAGGGGGGAGGACGGCTCCCAATGACGAGCCGGCTCCCATCGTTCACTTCAAAGAGCCCTCAGAGCCGGTTCGTCCGCTACCGATACATCACTAATTTCTATACATGTTTTGGCTGTCCAACTTCCATAATGCCCATAGGCAGAGATCCCAGGGGGGACGGGGACAGGGGGGGGGGGGAGACGCGTTCCCCCCTCACACAAAGTTGTCCCCCCCCACAAAAGTTATTGTAAATGTATAAATGCTATCAGTAAACCTGTATTTTCTTCTAAAACCACAACGTAAAAGTTAGTCTACAAATACAAAACAATGTGTTTTTAATTGTTGAGAAATTATAGTCCACCCCCCCCCCCCCCCCACACACACACACACACACACACACACACACACCCCAATTCCTCAAGTTGGTACGGTCGGTCCACACGAGCTGTTTCCAATGGGCGGGGCTGCCGGCTCTGCCTCGCTCACAGCTTCACAGCAGCCCGCAGGCTCACAGGAGGCGGGAATCAAAAAGCCAGCGGTTTCCAGCAGTAAGTCATTTATCACGCGCTTGTTCTACAAACTTAAATATGTATGTCAAATGTGGTCATAAATGTCAAACATAGACACCGATTATCTTTAGATTTTGATCACCGGTCGGGGATCCCTTTATGACAGACCACCACCACCACCACAGTAAAAAAATAGTTGTCACTTCATGTTCTCTGGTCATTCCAGGATTATTCCGCTATTATTATTCCATTCACTAAGGTGACCAAAAGTTCCTTTTTCCGGACACGTACACTTTCACGGTCTGCCCCTGGAATCTGCGGAGCATTTATAGATCGATGAAATGTCTCCCATGAAATGTTTCATCCTATTTAGCAGATGAATATGGTAGAATCAAAACTAACTGGTCCGATGTATGAATACCACAGCGTTTGACCACTCTTATCCCGTCTTCCCCAGGTTCTGCAGTTGTTTACAATATGTCAAAGTGCAGGTGCACCGTGCAGCTTAGGATGAACTGGTTGCAGCAAATGTGTGGTGGAGGCACGTTGCTCAAAGCTCTCAGTGTAAAAACATAGAGCCAAAGATCCCGTTGGCCACACAGATCCAAAAACACTATGAAAACTGAGAAAAGTGAGAGATCGATTAAATTGAAAGATAAACTATAGAGTATGTATATGTTTAGTGTATTTGTAAAGTAAATTTTTTAAATTTTTATTATTAAAATGAAACAAATATTTCAAGAATATATTTTTAGATTTGGTGTATCTTTTCGTTCAGTCGGACTTAAATAAAGTTATTAAATATTACAGAGTTATTCTCTAATAGCCAACAAACATTTCTATGATTTATTAAAGAGATTTCAGTCATTTTGATACTTGACTTGTGAAAGCTGATTTGAAGTTTGTTATTTTTTCTAGCCATATTTAGAGGGAAATTTTCAAATATATTAAAATCAATATGGAACTATTTGGATTTTAGTAGCTTTCATGTTATGTGATTTAATAAATTTTTAATTTGACATTTATGTTCTCTCTCTTTGTTGTGAAAAAGTTAGATATGTTTTAGTACTTAAAATTAATGCTTTGCATCCGTCCACACGTGTAGCTGTTGGTCAGATAGTCATTTCAGGACATGTTGCTTCAACTATTAACAATCTACTTTTAAATCTTTATTCTGAATTGCTTATTCCGTTTTAGGCTGCAGTCTTGTTATTGAAATGAAAACAAAAAGAAAGGATGCTTATGGAGATGTACAAAATTGGCAAGATATTATCATTGATCAATATCCTCCATCTCCGTTCTAATGACAATATCCCATCTGTGTGTGTGTTGCTGTCCAACTTTCAGCAGACCAGGTCAGTTGAAATGGCAGAGAAACGAAAAACGGCAGACATCAGGTCGTTTTTTAATGCTCCAGAACGTCAAGTAAGTAGAAACTTGCATTTTGATAAAGACTTCTATAAGAAAGAAATGAAATTGTTTCTAAACGGTTTCATTAGGCAAAGTCCAGTCACTTGAGCACAGGCAGCCAGAGCCTGTCAGACACAAGTACAGAGTCTCAGGTCAGTCTCTTATAAGGACATACAGTGTTGTATGTAGAGAGCAATTTTTTTCATGTCCCCCCCAAAAATTACTCTCTGAAGTTTTACTGTTTATTGTCCCCCCAAAATTGAAATGGGATTTCCGCCCTTGATAATGCCCCTTTAATGAAAAGCACATTTCGATATTAATGAAATAAAGTTTGTTCTATGTGATTATTTGTGGTTGTTTAATTTACTGATAAATTAATAATTATTAAAAAATAAAAATGATCCTTAAATAAAAACCCTTATTTCTTCAGTCAGGCAGAATGAGTCAGAAAAGGTGTGACTCCATCACAAACCAATGTTTACCATTAGGATGAACTGCTGACTGAAGCTCATAAAGTAACGCAGGAAATGACAAACTATTTACATTCGACTGACAAAAACACGACTTTCTGGTAAACAAAGGGGAGAAAATAAAAGGTTTCCCTTACATTTCAAGCAAGAAAACAGCTCCCCACCGTCTATGCTGCTGCGCAGGAGCCTCTGCGTGCGTCAACCTACCTACGTAAATCTGACCCGCCCATCTGTCTATTAAAGAATTCTATTGATGAAAGAAGCTGCCTGTCAAAAGAGACAGCCAATCACAAGTTTAGATGTGTTCCAACGGACCAATCAGAAGTAATGAAAAATAATTCACTTTTGTTTTGACTGTTTAAAAAATATTTATTTCAAATAAGATTAAATAGTACATTGAATTCACAAAGATTTAAAAAAAACAATTGATTTAAAATAAAATAATAGTAAACAGACAAACAAAAATTGCATCAGTCGGTCGAGACTTTCAAGTTACTCAATGTAACACAATAAACTAAATTAGTTTGGAAAGGAATAGTAAGAAGAAGCATAGTTTATTTCACTAACTTCATTTACAAACTCTTGGTAATATTAGCAGAACAACCCCTGAGTAGAACTTCTTAATGCAACACAAGTTTTACATCAAGAGTATAGAAATATGCAACATCACAGCACATATTCCTCTTGCCTGTATCTGGATATATTCAGTCCTTCGTACGATTTTTTGAATTGTAGTATTCTGATACGTTGATTTCTCTTCAATACTGTATCCCAAATACACTACCACAGATTGAAATACACATACTTTTTAGTTTGGTTCAAGACTGTTCCAGCTCAGATAATATCCCTCTTGTTTTTCTGTGAACTGACTTTGAATATTATCAGGATATTTTTTTTATTGACTCTATACGTGAATATTGCAGTCATGAATTTTATTAAATCTTTAAACTTTAGGATTTGTAATGATCTGAACAGATTATTGGCATTTTCTGTGCATCCAACATGGCTGTCCTAATGGCTCGATTTGTAACATAGGGTGGTTTTATAGGTGTTTCCCCATACTTCCACAGAGTAAGTTAGATATGACAGAATAGCAAATATTATGCTTCCAAATTCAAGAGGCTGCTTACCTTTGCCAACAATCCTTTGCTCTGCTACCTTTGCTTCAACTTACTTTATGAGGTTTCCAGCAGTTTCTGGTAAAGGATCACTCCCAAACTGTATTTTCATACTTTTTCTACTGTTACACCATTATTGTCACGGTCACATTTGTATTTATTTCCTGATTTCCAAACAGAATCAAATTAATTTTATTTAAATTCAATGATTACTTAAGTCAAACCATAAATTCAGTTCACCCAATTCTGTTATTCTCTCCTGCGGCTAAAATATTACTATCATCTGCAAATAAAACACATTTTGACTCGGTGGAAAGCACATAGATAATTTTTGAATAAAAGAAAAAGCTTTGGGCCCAGGACTGACCCCTGTGGTACCCCACAATTGATGCCAAGCATCATTAGAAAAACAACTAAAACCATTGGCTCAAAGTCATTTATTACTGCATGCACTCTAGTGTGCATTGAAAATGATGCACAACACATGGTAAACAATAATAAACCCTGTTTCTACACAATAACCATCATCAACTCTTGACAGCCATGAAAATAATATTATAAGACATCCTGAAGGTGTGATCTTCACTCCTAGGGTTGCAGGCTGCTTTACATGAATAACAGCAATGTGGAACAAAATGTATGATCACAGATAAAACTGTGAAAATGTTCTTTGTCGTCAAGACTTTAGAAGAACTATGGCAAAAGTGCTCTTGCCATAGTCATGCAAAATAATTTTAAAAACTGTAAAAAGGAAGTAAAGTCCTCAGACTCTTCCTGTGATTACCAAAACAAACCAAAACGTTCATCGTCCTTTACAGGTAAGAGAAGACTTTTATGAAAATTAAAGTAATCCAGGGTCAGCTGGCTGAGAAGACAATGACTGAAAAAGTCAAGATTAAAAAAATAAATCTTCCAGATGGATGGATAATCTACATCAGCATCAAATTATCAACTTATAAGAAGTCTAACTAAATAAAGTGGATTTTTTTCTACCAGAGGTTTCATCAAAATGTTTAATCATGTTTGCAAAAAGGTAAAAGTCTTTCTTCACCTGAATAATAAGAATAAACTATGACAGATAATAAATTTGCATTTTTAGGCTCATAATCCACTTTTACACGCATACGATCAGAACAACACACACACAAACACACACTTTTCCAATTATTCCAGGAAGATGGCTACTTGTTTTGTCCCTTGCTGCCACTGTCCTCGCTGTCCCTAGAGCCGCTGTTACCCCGGTGTTCCCGCCTGTCCCGGCACTCCCTGCACTCCCCCTCATCCTCTCCCTCCTCATCCTCGTGGATGATCTCCACCTCCAGCCGACCGATATAGAGCGATACCGCACAGAGCCAGAAGAGGGCGACGCTTCCCACCACGCCTCCTTGGAGCAGCAGGGCTGGCACAGACAGCAGCATCAGCCTCCGCAGGGCAAAAAGGCTGCCAACATAGGAGGCTCCGCCAAATGACACACACACGCCTCCCAGGATGAAGAACGCTGAGGAAAAACAGATTGACGTGGCATTATCCTAAAGACCCAATTAATTTTCCACACAACTCACTCTGCTTAAATCCCAGAGATTAGATCCACTCACTCCATTAATTAGCCAGATAAAATAAGAGATTAAAGAATATTTTCTAAATAAAATCACTAAAGATTTCTCCTCCACAGGAAATACCTAAATAGATTTTGTTCCTCATAAAAATACTAAATTTACCCCATCTTTGTGTGTCTGTAGTTTAGTTTTTCTATATTAAACAGATAAAAATCAGTAAATCCTTAAAGGTACTGGCCAGACTGCATGGAAATTGTAGAAATTCTGTGTAAATACACTTTACCATCTAAATAAAGATTAAATGGGGTCAGTTTCTCATTTTATTACACAATTTTGTCAAAAATCTTTATAGAAAATCAAAATTCTCTCCTCTAGACAGTAAAGAACTGTTTTTTGCAATCGTCACTCAAAGGCGTATTACGAGGTCTGAGCTGCTGGTGCTACCACATGATTAGCTGTATTTTGTTCAACTTTGTAGTCCCAGTGGTTACAGATTATTGTGTTTACAGCTGCAGCTAAAAGTCTGAGCCATTTGTCCGAGTCCTACATGCATTTCTACTTAATGTAGCAACATTAAAATCATGGAAACTGTGAGAAGGATCGTAGTGAGCTGGAAGTTTCATTTTTGCGGCAACCATTTAGAGTAAAGCCGATGCACAGACAACAGCCTGGCCAGTGCTATTTGCTCAGAGGATTGATCTAAAAAATAATCTAGAAATCTGTCTAGATCCGGTAGAACTGCTCCTCCTGTTCTTATCCCAACAACCACCAGTCCCATGAGCATGACGGCAGCAGCACAGCTAACATGGCTAACAGTAGGGATGTAAGCAAATATCAATATGAAAATATATTGTGATATTTCTTCCAGCGATATTATATCGATATTCAAAAGCCATGTATCTAATTTTTGGAAGAATTTACAAACATTTGTGTCTTTTCCTTTTTTTGGTGCAATTCAAACACTGATCACTAGATGGCAGCAATATGCCAATATGGGTTTTGTTTCCACCATTGAAATGAAAATCCCTCCATTATGGTTCAGATACCTCATGTTAAACATGTTACGTATCAGTTTGGCCTGTTTATTGAACCTTCCTACAATTAATTCAGTAAATAATATCGTTTGACTGAATGTGTCACAATATATCGTGATATATCTACATCGTAGATCGTATCGTATTGCCTCCCCTGTATTGTGATATGTATCGTATCGCCATAATTTCACCAATACACATCCCTAGCTAACAGCATTAGTCCGGTAAGTAAAAGATAAGTAAGTCGAGAAAGCTACAACACGCACACATTTTGGATTTACAAAACGATTCACACATTCCTGAGGCGGTAGAAACTCTGTGCCTTCCTGGATTACAACCAATACCACCAGGCGAGCTAGCGTAGCTAGCACGACTGCAAGACTATGGATCATCCCAGTAAGTTATCAGTTACGTTTTGTCAGTGTAAAATCAATGTGTACACACAGCAGTACACAGTTTTATTTATCTATAGATTATTTAATTGTACTGGGGCAGCTTGACGCAGCTGAGGCATCTTTAGCTCATCTCCGAGAGCAGAAATAAAACAAATACACAATACAAGTAAATAAATGGTATTGATTTTGGTTTTGAAGACGGTCAACCTCTTTCTACGCTGGCCTTGCCATTAGTGACCAGATCTGTGCATCCATCAATTATCTGTTTCCGCTTGTCCATGCAAGGTCGCGAGTGTTGTCCCCTCTCCAGTTTACTGGCTAATCCGAGTCAAACAGTCTGGGTGACGTAGCCGAAACCCTCCGGGTCTCCAATTTCTGTTTTCCTTGTCTTATTCCATCTGACTGATGAAACATTGTTGTCTGCTATATTGATAATGCGGAGAACCCGGAGGTGCGAACTGTTTACACTAGGTTTCTGAGGGGAGTTCTTTGTGAAACATAAGCAGATAATTAGCACTAAAACCTGAAACTGTCTTCTGTTTTCGCCGCGCTGTTTAAAAAAACTGGATTTAAAAAAAAATCCCAGCAGTAGAAATCCAATCTTTTAAAATATTTTTTTTACACATGAGATTAGCGATGCACCGGAAATTCGGCCACCCGAACATTTCTGCCGAAAATGACCCAAAAGTGCATTTACAGTTTTCACCCAAAATCACTGAAACAACACAGCCGAAACAGGCCGTCAGGTGACCCCGCCGCTTCATCTCGCTCCGTCCTCATGTGGCATCTGGCTCTTTGCTTCATAAAAACAGTATATTTGTACTGATTTCAAAAGTAAAGTTTTTCCCCTTTTAGTACTCCTGTTTTATTATGATCGCTGGAATATTCATATCAATGATGTGACGCACTTTACTTTCGGTTTCACATCTACCATGTCTGCCTGGCTTTTTTCTTCTTTTACACTCCCACTACGTCTGTCACTATTAGTGGTGTTTCTACCAACCTCTCTACACCAAACATCTCCTGAACACGGTCAAATAAACTTTGGATTGTGTGTGTGAAGCGTGTTTACTCTCATGAAGCACTCTGGTGCTTTGAGCACCTGTGATGTCACTGACCCACTGGAAGCGAAGTGCCTTGCCAAAGGACACAATGACAGCGACAAACTGAGCGGGGTGCGAAACTGCATCCTTCCAACTACGGGGTGAGCACTTAGCTCTGTGCCAACGTCACTTTTGTATTTGCAGCTGTGGCTCATTAAACACATTATTGCCAATTTGGTGCTCAAAGGGTTGATTTTACAGTCCTCCGCAAGCCTTTCAGGTATAAGCCTGTACATTTATATTTATTATTTTTATTTATAATTTATTATTATTTAATGAACACAAGTGGGGTCAAGTGAAACATTTTATTTTGAGTTTTAAGTTATATTGTGCATTGTTGTTATGTCAGTGCTAAATGAACACTCTCATGGTTTTTTAAATGATTTGTTGCAATGCCCTGATTTCAGTGAGGATAACACACATCGTAGCCATAAATGCTATGGTTCTAATTATTGACATCTTCATTTCATTCAGTGTTTCGGCCTTGGTTTCCTCATTTTCAGGTTTCGGCCAAGAATTTTCATTTCGGTGACTCCCTACATGAGATTGAAAGGAAATTTGCCTCTGGCCGGTCTCTTTAACGATTTAGAAAAAGTTCACCCAGAATGTGAATTCCAAAGTGACAACATTGATGGTGAAAATAAAAATCTCAGACCTTGACTCGGTTTTCCTCTTGATGAGTTTTGTCAGCTGATGAAATCCTTTAAAAATGCATCAAACTGAAAACTCCTGCAGCTGAGTCAAATCAAACATGTAACATGACGTTCTCTTTGAGATGGACGGAGAGCCCAGGTGTTTTCACTAATTTAGTACGCTTTTAAAACAGGCTTCATTCAAAGAGAATAATTTATGCTGAAAAGCAACCGCAGTCTTAGGATGCCTGCTTCAGAGTCATAGGTTTGGAAGAATTTATAAATGTGGCAAATTTAAGTGATTAAATGAACAACAAACCGAGAAGATTATGTAAAATGTTCATAAAAAAATACAATGTTTACACTACATATTTAAATATAACAACAGTATAAATGTGTTGGAAGTCTGTTTCATGTTGGTTTGGAGTCAGACCTCTGCATAAAGAAATGTCTATGTCTTTGGTCATATTGTACCAGGGATGATAAAATACCGAACATGTTTTAAAAATGAAACTTTTCTCACATTTAAATTTTTTTTTGTCTTTGAGCATAATTTAACACATAGAAAATTACTATTGAGGGTGTTTTTTAATGCTTATATTAATCAAGTTTGGTAAAAAAAAAAAATAAAAATAAATAAAAACTAATAATAAATCACACTTAAAATTATATGAAGAAATTTAAAGCCTCCTGAGAGCGTTGCGAAACTACCGTGGAACGTAATAAGCCGCCGTTATAGTGGACAGGGTCTTTTCTGGCAGGAGCAAAGTGTAACATTTTAGAAGCAAAGCCAGAAATGAAGGGATGTTTTTACATTTCAAGTTTATTTTTGATGCGCTACGCTTCTAAAACACGTCAAACTCCACAGTTTAGATCTTGCCAGACAGGAAGTCAAACACAAACGCAGTGTAAAACACCTGGAAATGCTCTAAATACGTCGTGTACAGATAAACGTACGTTTTCTGTGTAACCCCCGTAGCCGACATAAACAGAACAGGAAAACAAACCACAGACCTTTTCGGACACAAGTCGCTGTCTTTCTCCTTGCTTGTTATTGTGTGGACTTCTGAAATCACGCGTGGTGTTGCAATTCTCCAGTGACTTGCACGACCAACGGCGTGCTGCCGTTTCACATCTGAAATGCTCCCGGTTGGAAGAGAGTGAAAACACTTTCTCGTTTGGTAGAAAGGAGGCTTAAGGATCATTAGGGGTGGGCGTTGATAAGTTTTCATCATAATCAATGTCATTGTTCGTTCCGTCTATCAATCCAATTCTCTTATCAATTCTCGAGTAGTTCAATAGGTGGCAAAAAACTAATTGCACACAGTCTCCTGCATTGCAGCTGTCAGTTGATTAATGATAAATCAATTGTACCTGGTATTATTTGTAAAGATCTTTCCAAATGTTCTCCTTTATGCTCCTTGTGAAGGCGGAGTCATCTTATTGCTATAGATTTTGATGTTTGTAGTGTTTCCCGTCTTTGATGAAATATTTACTTAGCAAGCTGCCCTGTTGTCGTCCTTTCTTGTAAAGTATAACCAAACTTTTGAGCGTTTGTGCCGCTTAGGCGCCATGTTTCCTGCTGAGTAAATGCATAAGCTACACAACGTGCGTGGTGACGTCATTCGCGCTGACTGGAATTGATAAGGGAAACATTTATGCAACGATTCCGAAGGAACTGAACCGGTTCTCAACAAGAACCAATTTTCAAATCCCATCCTTAAGGGTCATCGAGATGTTGTTTTTTTTTTTTGCGTAAATCTGAGATTGACTCTGTTTCTCCCATTATTCTACTTTTGACCCTTTCTCCTTCACTTTTTTATTTGTGAGTCATGAACTCTTTTTACTAGCTGTAAGAAAATGAGGCCTGCAGTGCTTTAGGTGTTGTTCTGTGATCTTTAATTCTTGAATTTCTACAGATCTGGACATGTTGCTATTTAGGATCTTTTTTCTACTTCATGGTCAGACGACTTCTGCTGAAAACCCCAACAAGTGAGTTCATCTGCTGCTCTGCTACACATCAAACGATACCGTACCATATCCTGCTTCTCGCCCCACTTCGCTCTGGACAAAGGAGATGACTCCTATACCAGTTGCTAGCAAACCGTTCCGAAACCAAGAGAGGAAACCTGCAGACAAACATTTAAAATGATGACATCACAAATGAATGATTACTGTTTCCTGCAGAAGTCTTAATTTGAGTGGTATGTATTTTTTTTAAGGTTTTGATATAAAGGTGAGACTTATTTACATACTGCTTGAGGAATGATGCTGTTACACATTCTGGTTGTTTTTGATACAGGCGTTAACTGCAATTGCCGTACAAGGAAGTGATGAGCCTGGTCAGAATAGCAGCTCTAAAGCTAATTATAAAATATGTGTGCTGTGTTTAGTAGATCACAATCTCCACTGAACAGATTCTAGATAATAATGAAATTAGCTGAAAATGGTGCCTACAGATCATCAGAGATGGGTCAGCACAGCTGTTTGTATGTTTGATGCTTTGAATTCTGTTAAATATCATAAGATGGCAATTAGCTACAACAAATGTTCATCTCAGTAAAAGAAAAACAATTATGAGCCTTATTTTAACTAATAACCTAAACTTATGTTAGTACTTTTAGTACAAACAGTACTTCTATCCTGTAAAAGTCTAGATCTCTCTGTGACACATCACATAGTTCTGAATACTAGCGTATGCATGTATCTTTACTTGCCACCTAATTAAAGTTTCCCAGTTTATTTGTAAAATTACTAGAGAAAACATGCAGCTGTGACTATAATTTAATAAAGACGCATTAACTTCACCTGTTTCATGAGACTTCCTCAGCATCTGGCAATGTGTGAGAAAACAATAAAAGCAACAAAAAATACATATATATTAGTTTAGTCCGATTAGAAGCGAAAGTAAAAGCATCTCTCTCCGCCAGAATAAACCTACCAAAGCGTCCGCCTTGTCGAGCTCTGTGAGCTGGTACTGTTGCTGGGGCTGCTCCGGTCCCCGGTTCTTCCCCCACGGACCCTTCTCACCGATCCGCTGCCGAGCCGATCCGTGCAGCCTCCTTAGCGAGGCACCGGCGCAGGGAAACCGG